ATATATATATATATATATATATATATTCTGTCTATACGTTATTTTTATAGATACAATTATTTAAGTAAATGCTCTGTATATAATAAAGAGTATTATCTACATTTACCGGCCTGAATGCCTGAGAAATTTCATAAAAAATATGTCTCCTCTGACAGGAATCGAACCTGTATTCTACAGGATACTGTATAATATATTCGATTCCTGTCGGGGTAGACATATTTTTTATGAAATGTCTCGGACATTCAGTCCGGTAAATGTAGTTAATACTTTTTATTATAAACAGAACCTTTACTTAAATAATTATATCGATAAAAATAATGAATAAACAGAAAATATATTAAAATAATTGTCGAATACAGTCCATTTCATAATATATATATATATATATATATATATATATATATATATATATATATATATATATATATATATATATATATATATTTGTTGTATACGGAATAAATTCAATAAACAACAAATACTATTCTTAAGGGAGTGCTCAGTACAGAGTAGAGCAAATATAATTATTTATTCGAAAAATGTAACATAAATAAGTTATAAAATCACTACAAAAATAGTCATTTTGTTTCAACACCTCTTGTGTCTTATCAAGTGATGGTGTTGAATGTAGAATAAAGCTTAGTTAAAACAACAGAAGTGTTGGAATAAAATGGCTATTTTGTAGTGATTTTATAACACATTGCTGTTATAATTTTCGAATAAATAATTATATATATATATATATATATGTGTGTGTGTGTGTGTGTGTGTGTGTGTGTGTGTGTGTGTGTGTGTGATAGAGAGAGAGAGAGAAAAAACGAAAGAGAGAGAGAGTTGTATGTAAAGGGATTTGTATGATAGGGCGGTTTTTTAACCTATTGCAAATATATCTAATAAAAACAGATATAAGCTAAAATTCACTTGAATCTTTCTATCTATCTATCTATGTGAGTCACTTCCGTTTTATCTCTCTATCTATGTAAGATGGCGTGCAAAACATTTCGACCCCCATGGTAAATTAATTATATTTGTTAATTGTGCCCCCAAATCAAGATTGATTAGCAGTAGGCCTTTCTCAGGAGATATCATGATCTTTGATGGCCAGAAAACAAGTAACTGCATTTTCGTTAATGTAATATGGTGGATGCTAGAGCATCTCAGACATAGAGATGCTGGGGGAAAAAACGCATGCAAAAAATACTTGGTCATAAACTTTTCAACTTATCTTTTTTTTTCAGTCAAAAAGCAATTGTTTTTATCCCCCCAAAAAGATCTTTTATTTTGACAGAAATTACAGATTTCAAATACGATACTTGAATAGTTAACGGTCATATCACGTTGAAATAGGTTCTCGTACAATCACCGAAGTTAAGCAATGTTGATCCCGGTCAATGGGTTAACGCCTGGAAATCTCAGTAACTGTATCTAGATAAGTGACTGCTTGAGAATACCAGGAGCCGTATCTGAATGGGTGAGTGCTTGAGAATACAAGGAACTGTGTCCAGATGGGTGACCGCTTGGAAATCCCTATACCTGCAGCTAGATGGGTGTCCGTTGTATCTAGATAATTGACCGCTTGAGAATGACAGGTGCTGTATCTAATTGACGTTTAGGAATACCACGAGTTTTATCCCTAATGGGGGACTGCTTGAGAATACCAGGACCTGTATTTAGATGGGTGACAGCTTAGGAATACCAGGATCTGTATCCTTATTGGGTGACTGCCTGAGAATACCAGGACTTGTATTTAGATGGGTGACCGCTTGAGAATACCAGGAGCTGTATCCCTAATGGGTGACTGCCTGATAATACCCGGTCCTGTATTTAGGTGGGTTACCGCTTGGGAATACCACGAGTTTTATCGCTAATGGCTGACTAGTTGCGAATAGCAGGACCTGTAATTAGATGGGTGACCACTTGGGAATCCCTGTACTTTTATCTAGATGGGTGACCACTTGGGAATAGCATTTGCTGTAAGCTTGGATGTGCGAGTGGTGTAATGGATAATGGCCCGAAATTGCTGTCAGGTGAGTCGAGTTTAAATATCTTTGGAAATTATATGAATTCATTTCTTCTCCCACAACTATGGGTTAATTAGTGAGACTTTATCACTAAATCATTATTATTTCCCCCAAAATTTAAAAACATCTTGCAATCTAAGAAATTTTCTGGCTTTAAATAACCTGCAAATGGTTGATAAACCGTAAGAAACATATCACTCAATCAAAACAAGTACATCGATTTTATTTGTCTTTGGATTGTCCCTCGAAAAAAAATCCAAATTGTTTAGCAGAATGTTTGCTGCCAGCGTCTATTCAAATACGGGAATTCGATAATAATAAGATCTGAAGTAGTAAACGTCGGCTAAAAAAATGAAATTCATTAATTCTTTAGTCATATCTATATATATATATATATATATATAGTGTGCGATATTATATATACGTATATATGTATGTATATGTATGTATTATTTTGTATATATATATATATATATATATATATATATATATATATATATATAGGTTATGATGTATCGGTAAATATATATATATATATATTTCGGTAAAGAGTATACAATATCAGATAGATTGTTTATAGGTATAATCCGAAGATGACCTGAGGCGTGTTCAGTTCGATATGCATACTCTCAATATATATATATATATATATATATATATATATATATATATATATGTGTGTGTGTCTGTATATATATATATATATATATATATATATATGTGTGTGTCTGTATATATATATATATATATATATATATATATATACAGACATACACACATATATATATAGACATATATATCTATTTGTACATATATATACAAACACATATATATATATATATACACACACACATATATATGTATATATATATGTGTGTGTGTGTGTGTGTGTGTGTGTGTGTGTGTGTGTGTGTGTGTGTGTGTGTGTGTGTGTGTGTGTGTGTGTTGCTTCTCATTGTATACTTTCTATTATGTTTAATTTTACAATTTATATATTCTTCAGTTTCAATGCCACGGGTCTAAACAAAGAAGAACAATGAAAGCCTCAAACTTTCCTCTGACTCATTTTTCCCCCTCCAAATTTGATGTGAATAACCGGTTGGCTTTCTCTTTATATTAAACTCGTTACGCACACAGTGAATTACGTTTTTAACACACATGCTCTCTCTCTCTCTCTCTCTTCTCTGTCTTTTCTCCTCTCTTGACTGACTGACGCTTTCATTGTCTCTGACCATCGCTCGCTGGTGTCGGGGTTATGTCACTTGCCTACTTCGCTCTCGGTCTGAAGTTCATATCAGAACAAAATACATTCGCTTTCTTCTCTGTGTGATATAAAACCTAACACACTATTCTCGCAGATTATTAATAGTGGGTTCAGTTCTTAATGGAGACACTGTGTACAAGCCCTTTTGCTAAAAGTAGTAAATAAATAATTGATCAAGAGTTTATAATGCGTAAAATTCGTAAAACTCCTTCCATTTGAATGATCTGTCTAAGATATTAAGCTCAAATATTTAACGAGACGATATGGGGACTTCTACGGTTATTTTATTATCGTAGAACTTATCATTATCTTATTAACATTTATGTAAAAATTAAAATCGAAAAACCTTGAAATTTCCACGGGTTATGTCTAGTGATCAATACCCTTTTTATATGTTTAATATTATATTCTCTTTATTTTTTAGATACTTACCTTGTGCTGGAGGTATCACTGCTACGACTAGCTTAGACCAGCTCTGACCAGTTTGGACAAGCTATGACAAGATATGACCAGCGGCCCGAGTGAAAACACTCGTGTCTCCACATTAAAAACTGACCTTGTGTCACCACCTGACTCAGTGGGGGGGGGGTCAAGTAAATATCCATATTAATAAGATAATGGCTATAAGGTTCAAGAAGGTAATGGCTATAATTCTCATTAAGGTAATGTCTATAAACTTCATAAGGTAATGTCTAAAAGGTTCATTAAAACAATTGCTCTACATATTAATTTACCTGGCACGGGGCTCCATCCCTGTGCTGGTGGTATCACGGCTACGACTAGCTTAGACCAGCTCTGACCGGCTCTGACTAGCTTGGACAAGCTATGATCAGCTAAGACCAGCTTAGACCAGCGGCCCGAGTGAAAACCCTCGGGTCCCCACGTTAAAAACTGACCTTGTGTCACAACCTGACTCAGTGCGGGGGTCAAGTAAATCTCTACTTACCTGGCACGTCCTGGGTAGGTATCACGTCCAAGACTAGCTTAGACCGGTTCTGACCAGCTTGGTCAGTCTATGACCAGCTAAGACTAGCTATGACTAGCTTAGACCTGCTCTGAGCGGTTTGGACATTCTATGACCAGCTAAGATCAGCTTGGACCAGCGGCCTGAGTGAAACCACTCGGGTCCTTACGTTAAAAACTGACCTTGTGTCACCCAGTGAGGGGGTCAAGTAAATATCTACTTACCTGGCACAGGGTTCCGTCCCTGTGCTGGTGTTATCACAGCTACGACTAGCTTGGACCGGCTCTGACCAGCTTGGACCAACTATGACAAGCCAAGACCAGCTATGACTAGCTTAGACCAGCTCTGACCAGCTTGGAGTAGCTATGATCAACTAAGACCAGCTTGAACCAGTGGCCCGAGTGTAATACTCGGGTCCCTACGTTAAAAACTGAGCTTGTGTCACAACCTGACTCAGTAGGAGTGGGGGATCAAGTAAATCTCTACTTACGTGGCATGTCCCGGGTAGGTATCACGGCTAAGACTATCTTAGACCGACTATAACTAACTTGGACAGGCTATGACCAGCTGAGACTAGCTATGACTAGCTTAGACCTGCTCTGACCGGTTTGGGCAAGCTCTGAGCAGCTAAGACCAGCCTCGACCAGCGGTCCTAATGGAAACACTCTGGTCCCCACGTCAAAAACCGACGTTGTGTCACAACCTGATTAAATAGGTAGAGGGAAATCTCTATTCACGTTATTCATTTGGCTTACGACCATATCACGTTGAAACACCGGATCTTGTACGATCACCGAAATTAAGCAAAGTCCAGCCTGGTCAGTACCTAGATGGGGGACCGCTTGGGAATACCAGGAGCTGTACCTATCTGGGAATACCGGATGCAGTAAGCACGGGTGTGAGGGTGGTGTAATGCATAATGGCTCGGAATTTGAAATCAGAGTTCCAATTCCAGTGTGGTTATTTACTTAGGACTATTATTCCCTAACGTGCAAATAACCTTGAGAAAAGTATAAATCCACTTTTCTCCCCCAGCTACGGGTGAATTAGTAGGTCTTGTATCAGTAAATCATTATCATCATAACCTCCTCAAGTCTAGAGACAATTGTTATCTAGCCAAGATATTCTAATAATCTGCAATTGTTTTCTCCTCTTGCGTCCACAGAACAACCCAGCTCTCTCTTGAGAGGCGCTCGAGTCTTTTATTGAAACCTCTATCTTGAGAGGCTCTCGAGACTTTTATTGAAAACTCTGTCTTGATAGGCTCTCGAGTCTTTTATTGATTGAAACTTTTTAAAAAAAGAATGTATTTTTCCTTCTTTTTTGCCGTATATTTTTTTTTAAATTTTACCAACCCTCTTTCATAAATATACTCCAATCATTTGTGATTATCTATGCTGATGGTATAGCGGTATACGGGTACACCGCGAAAACTCAAGATGGCCAACGATTGGCAGATGATCTCTATTCTTACCACAGGTAGCAAAGTCGGGGTTGATTATTCGCGTTCAACTTCTCATGTCTAGAGATATTTTATTACCACTGGGTGCAATTTCACACTACCAGACCCAGGGATTGTACTCACAACTATGACACCAAATTACCAAAACAAGCCATTATCCCGTAGGACAATTTGTTGTAGTAAATTTAGAACTTAAAACTTAAACTATTTGCTGATTAAGCTGTATCTACGGCTTCTGCAGCTGCTGCTAGCTATCATGTTTTGACTGCTGCTGTCCATGAATTGTATTTATTTCTATGCTAGGCCTACCAAGGAGATCCTCCTAGTCAAGAATATGCGCTTTTTTTAGATGTTTATTCAACAAAGATGAGGACAATAGTCCGAACATAAATAGTGTAAGTAAGGTCCCTCATTATCTGACTGCTCGACATCGAAGTGTAGCGTTGCTAACAATATAATTCGAATTTGGACGAGAATCTGACCAAATGGCAAATATATAAAATTATTTTGAAAACTATTGTTCTGATATGTTCAATAAACAATAAGTGTCATATCTTGAAATAAAATCCTTTTTCCTGATGACTGTTTCGTCGGAGACGAATATCAAATTACGTTTTAAAAATTGTCTCATATATTATATATATATATATATATATATATATATATATATATATATATATATATATATATATATGAGTGTTTGTGGGACTCGCTGTCATCTGCCTCTAGTTCCTTCTTGCATATATACAGATATATGTGTATATATATATATATTTCTTTTCCACCTATTCTGATTGTACATTTTTCTGTTTTAATTTTTTGAATCTCCCGTGGAAGCCTGAAGAGCGGGAGCGAAACCGGTTGCTTCCCCCCCTTGTTGTTGTGTTTTTTTTTTTATTATTTAATATTGTTTAATATGTCTTGTAATATTAAATGTTATACTTTTATTTCGATCATTAAATTTTGTACCTACAAAATATCTTTAAATATATATATATATATATATTTTTATATATATATATATTAGTTGAAATACCCAACCTGTCGGGCATTAAGATATAGCTTATTGTTTATTTTTGAAAAAAGTAAAACAATAAGAAAAAATAGAAGCAATAAGCTATACCTTGTGTCCGACGAGATAATGTATGATGCACGCTATTTACATTATTCGGACTATTGTCGCCATATTTATTACAACGTTTCGGCCGTTGTACGCTCCGTACTTCTTCAGGTGGTTGGAATGTCGAACTGAACCCTTTATTCGCACACTGGGGTAGACTGTTCTAGTTCCACGTGACATGTCTGATGGATGTCAGTTCGATATTCCAACCACCTGAAGAAAGCCGGAGCGCACAACGGTCGAAACGTTGTAATTAATATGGTGACAAAGATGAGGACAATAATCCGAATAATGTAAATAGTGTACTCATTGTAAATTTACAGAACATAAATATTATAAATTAACTGATTTAGAAATATGGCGCCATCGCTACACAGGAACATGGTAATTTGAGCATGGTAATTCCTGTGTAGCGATGGAACCAAATTTTTAAATCAGTTAATTCATAATATATATATATATATATATATATATATATATATATATATATATATATATATATATATATGCGCTCTTCGGCAGGATATTTCTTGAATATTCAGGCCATTAGATAATAATAAATAAATATACTGTTTAATAAATAAATGATTTATTGTAATTTATTATAATAGAAATATTAGAATAATATATATATATATATATATATATATATATATATATATATATATATATAAAATATTAGAATAATTTATATATAGAATTATTATAATATTCTCCTCTATTTTGTATTGGGCACTTTTTTTTTTCTTAAAATGTAAATGTTACGAACTGTGATTTTAATCCATCTGTTCTTTCTTTTATTTGTACACACACACACACACATATATATATATATATATATATATATATATATATATATATATATATATATATATATATATATATAAAAACCTAGAGAAAACGTAAGCGGATCGTCAGGGTAAGCTTTCCCTGACGATCCGCTTAGGTGAAACCTTGTAGGTTTGTCTGGCTCTCTAGGTTTGACTAGGTCTGCTCTACTTTGTATTGAGCACTTTTTTAATTAGTTGATTACTCGTATCGGTTTTTTTTTCTTTGGGCTTTGGATCTGTATGCTGTACGATTATTTTCGACAGACGTTCATTTTCCTAGCTCTTTCTTTTTTTAAACCTTTTTTTCCTTCGAAATTGATTTGATCATTAGCAAATCAAGAAACCGAAGGTTTTCTAAAACGAGTGTAGTTACCTATATTTATATATATATATATATATACATATATATGGTTGGGTGTGTATGTGTGGGTGTGTTTCATATTTACTATCGCCTGAGGAGGCACATTTTGAGTGCTGAAACATAAAAGCCGTTGTGTAGCGATTTTTAAGATGTTTTTGTTTTAATCTCTTATAAGAAATAATATTCAGCTCTATGTTGTACTGAGTCCATTTTTAAAAGTAAATGCTACGGATAGTGGAATTATTCTCATTTGTTCTTATCTTTACACCTGAATATATATATATATATATATATATATTTGTTGATAGATGGAGTTTGGGACCCTGGGTTTCACGCTTTAACGATCGTCAGACAAACTGATTAATGTTTTAAAAATTTGGGTTTATGTAGATTGCGTGTATTGGTGTTATTGTGGAAGTGGTGTGGGAAATTTCGTCGTTTTGTCATTCATCGTACTAACGCAAACATTGATGTATGCAGACACATATACACACTTGGTCGTCCGTCCGGACTCATACATATATAAACATATGTGGGCAGTTTCAGCTATGACACATGTATGTATACGGGTGGTGTTATATCTATACATACGCATTTGTATGTTGAAATGTTGAAATTTAAACATTGGAAGTGTGGCGGAAATGTCACGTGAGTGTCTCGTGAATGTATACATGTCATATTATGTATATTTTTTCACTGAAAAATATTTCCTCGCATGTATGTATATACGTGTGGTGGGGTTTGTGCAAAATTATGATGGGTAAAAATTATTATTATTTATATTTATTTTTAAATTTTTTTAAAAAATGGGTGTTTATTTGTTATATTTAAAGCTGGTTATTTGTTTGTTTTTGGTGACTGTGTATATGTAACAGGTAGAAATTTGTAATCCTTATTGTTTAATTTATATGATGTTTAATATTCAATGTGCTGGGTGAGAGGGTGGTTCAATTTTATATCGGGTCTATATGATATGATGTGATAGTAATGTTTCAAGGGATTGGAGACAATGATAGTTAGCTAATAGTTATTTTAAATTGGTAGAAATTGCTAATTGGTAGAAATGATTAGTAACGGTGGTGGGAGAATGATAAAACCATGAATGTAGTTATAGTGGTGGTAGCTTGAACTAAAAAGGGTCACAAACTCACATCTATCCAACCAAATATGTTAGCTCTATCTCTGATATTGAGCGCTTTCTAATGAGTACCATATATATAATATATAAATAATTATATATATATATTTATTTGTATTTATATATTTTTTTTTTACACACACACACATATATATATATATATATATATATATATATATGTGTGTGTGTGTGTGTGTGTGTGTGTGTGTGTGTATGTATGTGTATATATATGTATGTGTGTGTGTATCTTTTGTTCTGAAGTTTTAGTTTAGTGACTTTTTGCCATCGACAAACAGAAGTTCAACGAAACTGCAAGGCAGAAAAAAAGAACCATATTGTTGAAAAACTAGCAATTAAACGACAAAAGACAAAACAAACGAAATAATTACGAACCGAATTGAATTAATTTTTTTATTTTTTTGCTCTGTTTGCCTTAAACTAAAAACTGAAGTTTTATTTTTCAATATTTAAAAGAAAACAAAAAGAAAAAAAAACTATTATTCAGTATTTCTTATTCTTTATAAGAAACGGTCGCGAAAAAGACAAAAACAAACACCGACAACAATAAGAATTTCGACAACAAAAACAATTAATGATTTATAACAGGATCTTGTTTGTTGATGTTTGCAATGGCAGATACTGGGTGGTGTTTTTACTTGACTTATTATAGAATTTGTTTTCGAATTTCGGATTAGGCAAAGACTGACATGGGAGTAAATGTTTGTGAGTATTTTCATCTTCTTGGGGTAAAGTATATTCATGACTATGTACTATACGTGCAGTGGTGTAGATAGATAGATAGATAGATAGATAGATAGATAGATAGATAGATAGATATGAAAAGTCTGAAATAGATCGATAAATAGATAGATAGATATTACCCGAATGAGATAGATAGATAGAGAGAGAGAGAGAGAAAAATATATACATAGATATGAAAAGTCTGAAATAG